AAACTATATGATATATTATTAAATTTATATATCATATAGTTAGCAAAAAATTCAAAAAGTACCGTAGCTTTTTTGGGACCGCTCTCCGTTTGTTGCTGTTAAAGGTAACATCCTATTAGCGCCTGACCTGGATGTGGATGTTCCAGATGAAGGTTCAAATCCAGAACCGGATCCGGACTACACGGAATACATGACGGGCAAGTCCAATGCAAAGTTCAATTCGAATAGTTCGATGTCAGACGGTATGCCTGGTTTGGATCTGTCGGATCCGAAGCAACTTGCTGAGTTTGCACGACCCGGCCATAAGCTGAAGGTGCGCAAACCGCCGGTGATGGACGGTGTCGAGCGAACGATCGCATGCCCTCACAAAGGATGCACGAAGATGTTTCGAGATAACAGTGCGATGCGTAAACATTTGCATACACATGGTCCACGGGTCCACGTGTGTGCGGAATGTGGCAAAGCTTTTGTTGAGAGTTCGAAGCTAAAACGACATCAGTTGGTGCATACAGGTGAAAAACCATTTCAGTGCACATTTGAAGGATGCGGCAAGAGGTTTAGTTTGGATTTCAATCTTCGTACCCACGTGAGGATCCACACCGGTGATCGGCCATATGTATGTCCATTCGACGGATGCAGTAAAAAGTTTGCGCAATCAACGAACCTCAAGTCACATATATTAACTCACGCGAAGGCCAAGTAAGTTTCGCTTCTTTGTTGTACTTCGAATTTGAGATGAAAGCAGAAAAGACGAATGTGAAAATATTTTAAAAACTATCATATTAAAGAATAATAGACGATTTAGACAATAATTGTTAATGTTTGTAAAGCGATGTTAAGTTGCATTTTAAGATATTAAAGATATCAATTGCTTAAATTCAGAAGATCAATGTGTAAAGTAGAAAAAAGGGGAACTTAAATATCTGATTAGATCTTGATTTTCATAATTTCAGATCTCGGAACGCAATTGGGAGACAAGTACAACAAATCCAACTTACACAGCCTCAATTTGTCCAAGTTGAAGTTGCAGATGTGGACAATCAACAGTTCATTGTCTACGCCGATTAGCCCCCCTAAACATTGATCTCGTATATCTCCCGCTGAACACTACTACTAAAGTATCGTAACCATTAATTATTAATCTGAACAATGTAAATATTTTTACGACGCGTACAAGTGATGTCATTACACGAGACATGGACACTGTCTTAAGAGAATTAATGGAAGAATAATACCTCTGTGCTTAGATACGAATTTCTTAAAAAAAAAATGGAGCACTATATTATCGTAAAACACGAGAGGGCAAATAAAGAGTTAAGTAAGAAAGGAAAAAAAATAAAAAAAAAAAGATAATGTGTACCTTCTAAGATAACAAGTTAGACTGTGTCGCGCACTGCTCAATTTCTTGTTCCATCAAGAAAAATAGAGTGCGCTCGCATAATACACACTATATACATATACACTTACACACGTGCACACATATACACGAGACTGTATATATATAAATATATATAAGTACAATTAAAATATTGTATACAGTATATTTTGGAGAAATTCAGATGGGAATAAACCATGAAGATGCATCTTTTTCCGTCGGACTCAATTGTATCATCTTGGTAATATAGAAATTTTACACTATGTATAATGCTGAAGACTTGTTGATAGTTAATGATGAGAGAGATAAAGAAGTTACGCGTGTGTAACGTATATTATGAAATCCGTAAATATATCACGCAATCTTTATTGTATGATTCGGTATCGTTTTTCTTTTTATATCGACGAGGTATAATCGGGAAGATTAACGGGATGCTTTTTTTTTCAATAACGGATATGGGAAGAAAATCGAAGATACGCGAGAGAAGGAAATTGTACAAAGAAAAGTATACCGAAATGCTGTTACTGCATCCCGATGTGATATTTATGAAAATGTTGCGACGTCTGCTCGCGCATCGAACGGCTTGGAACGACTTCGGCGATATTTGAAATTTCGAGCAAGAAGCAATATAATTGTGGATAGATTTAATATCGAATTAGAATAAAAAAGTTATTACTGCGTGCATCTCTCATTACATCACCGATCATAATTATTCGCATATCATAATTTTATACGGGCGATATTGACAGGCATAAGTACACATACCTATGCACCAGCCTGCATTAAATTAAGCGAACTTTGGACAATTTGTTTAAATCCTACAAAGTATATATTCTTTCATAAAAAAAGATTTTACTTTACAGCTGCATATAATATTCTTGTGGCTGTACCCATCTGTTGGTAGTTTTCTTGTATACAATCTAATATCTTTTTATAAAGAAAAATAAGAGGAGAAAGGTGAATTATTTTAAATTGTTTAGCGTTTAAACTTTAGATTGCTTGATCACCCATTTTTTGTCAATAAACTTTCACCATCTATTTGAGCCTTACGGCAATTGTCATTATGTCCCATATTAGGCTTCTTTTTTGTACGATAGATACAATTTGGAATTATTTTTTAATATATCATACGGTCTACATTTTTACTGACGTAATGATATTCGCGAGAAAATGAAAAAATATAAAAATGATTTCAAAAATGCAATTTTAATTTTAATAAATTTAGGTAACTATCCGACAAAAAGAAGCATTATCATCAGTTTTTTGAAAGGAAATAATTTAATAATGATGTGTATGTATGATTATATCGATGCTCTTTGCACAGAAGGTTCAGGATATCTTTGCAAAGCATACGTAAATTTTTTGTTGTATTCGTAAATATCCACCAAACTACGTGCATCGTTTTTCACGGTATATGTTTAAGTTCGATAATTTATATGAAAATATAACACGAAATAAAAAATATATATTTCTATGCTTATATTTTATTTGTGTCTGTCATTTTTCATTGCGCGAAAAAGACATCCTTCAATTAATTCGGAGTCATTAAATTATTAACAAATGATATAATGTTGAAGAGCACTAATTCTATTGATTACACGTATAAATATATAATATATAAGATATATGTGTATATAGATACTTTTCATCTGGAACACGCACAAGATAGATCCATTGTATCAAGTCCGTCCGTTAAATAATGTTAGATCAGTTGGAATGAAGAATCATTTTCTATAATTAGTATCTTCCAGATCGGCCGTCCCTACCTTTGTCGTCCCTTTTCCGACGATCTTTAGATCTTGATCGTCTGTCGCGCGATCGTGATCGCCGCTTGCGATCTCGGCCGCGTGAACGCGAACGCGATCTAGATCGTCCCCTGCCGCTCTTCTTGCGACTGTACAAGTAGCGGCGCAGCTCACGCGAGATGGGCTTCAGGTGCATAAAGTTACAGAATCCGGAACGTGTGCATTCTCTAAAACGAAAAAAAAAACAAGATATGAGATAACCGATTTCATTCATCATTAGACATTTGCATGAATAGATTCTATTTAAAATGCGATCTGTGAAGCACATGATATATCATTTTATCTTTGTTGTTCATCGAATAAATAAAGGTAAAATACATCATGTGCTTTACAAAACCAGGAGAAAATAATGTTAAGATTACCCCATTTCATATTGACGACAACAAGCCTCTCTGAAATCCGTCACTGGTGAAAGTTCGGCATATACTGGTCGACCACCAAACCAGCGATTGTTCAAGTCATTCACAGCTCTCTCCGCGTCTTCCTCTCTACGAAATTTGATGTAAACATTACCTACCAAGTGATCGCCGAGATTGTCGCACACATTCATCTCCTCGATTTCGCCGTACTTGTCTTCGCACTCAACAAAGACATCTTCAAAGAAGTTATCATAATGCTCTTGCATTTCTTCGTCTGATACATTTGCGACCACTGGAACAAGAATAAATCATACCATTTCTTTATTTGGAAAAGAATTTAACAAAAATATGTATCAAATTGACAAAATATGTATAATTATCATTGTAGAATTATGATGTACTCACAATGGGAGCCATCTGCACTTTTGGCAGAATTTTGGGGATTCACATACAGATTTTGAAGCAGGCATGTCTGGAAAAGAATTAATTTGTTTCAATATATTAAATGTTTAAGAATGTTATATAAGAACATTGATTTTTAATCAGTTCTAAACTTGATCTCAATTCTCAAGTAATAAGATGATATTATGTTTTGCATTTGATAACACAAGTCGACACAAGTATTATTCTATTCTCCTTCCTGACATTCAGAGAATGACAAAGATAGAATATTTGTGTCAACTTGTATCATAAGTGTATCATGTGTAAGCATCCATTATTAAGTGTCATTCATTAACATCAAAATGATGACAAAAATATGATGTCTTTGATGACATTTTAATATGATTTAAAATGATGGCAAATAAGCAAGGTTGCTATTCCAGTTGTTATATTATGATTTATAAATTTACATCTCAGTTTTAATTCATTAATTAGAAAGTTGAAAATTGTGAGTGAAGCAATATAAGATGAATATTAATCATAAAGAATATGTATCAACAATTAAACGTTTGAAAGATAATTGAATGAGGATTGATTCTTACCATGTTGTATAGACACATTTAAATAGTAAAAAATTAATTACCGATTTAAATTAGATTAAGTAAATTATTTAATACCTGACTGAATGTAGGTTTATTGTGGATACGCGAACAGCGATCGCCGTGACGGCAGGCGCCGATTTTGAAGTAAAAAGAGCAGTTTACTCTGAAAAGAAAAAAAAGAAAAGTGTAGGTTAGGATAAGTTTCCATTCATTTACAATTCTGCAAAATGAGTTTTCCTTACTTATCCTTCTCAGTACCGAAGATAGATGCTAAATATTCCGCCATGACTCACGTCTTCTCGAAGATGAGATTATTCCAAGAGTTGTCAATTTGTCCGAACCATCAAAACCTACCTAATATCACCATCATCACGCACGACACACGCCGATAGACAGCAAAATGGCGACCGCATTAGTTATATTCACAATGAAAAGAAATGCAGCATTTCCATGGAAGAGAAACCACCAATCAAAAATGAACACAAGAAAAGAATATGGCTGTTAATTGGAAATGTCCACAAATGTCCAAAATGAAATCCAATATGTTATTGTGAAATTATTTAATAATTACATAATAATTATTCAGTTTAGTCTTCTTCAGCTCCGAGTTCGTATATTCACAAAAAAACTTACATTTAGCTACATTATTACATAATTAATATTAAATTATTATGTAATTAATACAAGCCTAGATGATAATGATAAAATTAATTAAAAATCGGATATTAATTAAGCTGTATCTTAAATGCTTACATAATTCAATGGGAATTTATATACTACATATATAATACTTACAAGGAGAGGTTACGCTCTGTTCTTCTCCGATTTCGATCAAACCCAGCAAACAAGAATGGATTGAAATGAATTAAAATGGATTCAGATTTTCAGAAATATATTGATTCACTAATGTTAAAATGAATGCTTTTCAGTCCTGAATGCATTTTTATTCATTTATATGAATTGCATAGAGCATATCTCTATGCAATTCAAAAATAATATTAGCTTTTTCTATACATTGTGAATACTGTCCAATTCAAAATTTTGAATAAAAAATGCAGTTTTTCTATCCAATTGTTTATAATAATTGAATTTAATTAAATCCAATTGTATCCAATTAAATGCAAAAAAGTATTCGCTATTTAAAATTCGCGCGCATTCGGATAGAAAAAAATTTCAATCCATTTTAATCCATTCTCGTTTGCTGGTAAAGCCTCTTGCCTGTAAAGCCTCAAACAGCAAGGTAACTTTTATGCCGACAAATGGTGATTGCTGATCTAAGGCCCAGTTCCACAACTCACGGTTAAGTCTTAACCAAGATTTAACTTATTTATTTGGTCGGTATTCATAGTCAGTTCTTATTTTAAGACCGTCTTAAGTAATGTCCTAAGTCGCTAATGCGATCCTCTGATTGATTCATGACATCTTAAGACTGTACTTTATAAATGTAAGAGATCCGACTGTGACTCACTATGTATATCGGCCATTGTCTCTTCCCAATTTTTGAATTCTTTTTAGTACAATAGAAATAATAATAGTAATAAATAATAATAATAGTAGTAATGTGAAAACATTAACAATAATTAAAAAGGTAATTTTCGCACTATTTGCTTTAGAAAAAATTAAGTTTGAAGAAATGTAAAAAAATTATTTATGTATAATTATATATAAAATTATGCATAATTATTGTATGAGCAAATTTTTCACATTTTTCTAAACTTGTTTCTTTCTAAAACAAACAATGCGAAAATTATTCCTTTAATTATTTTATATGTTTTCACATTACTATTATTATTTCTATTACATTAAAAAGTAATTTTATAAAAGAAAAAAGGATGTATAAACGTGTGGATGTATGAACGTGGACATATTTCATATATAGTTATACATTATGCGAATATTTATGCGTGTTTAAGTATGTTTATACATATTTATGCATATTCATGAAAAATTTTTTACCGGGGCTTTACAGATATTTTGGTTCCTCTAACATCGCTGCAATTTTGATCAAAATCGGTGGAGAGCAGAGCGTAGCCTCTCCTTATTAGATAGTCATTTAAATTGCGCGCCAAATTAATTCTTCAGTCTTGCAACGTAAATAAAGTGAGTAATATCGCAAATTAAATTGCTTAGCAATTTACTAATTTGATGTTACATCCCGTTGCATAATATTATAATTTGTGAATTATATATTATATAATATCCCTAAGGAAAAATATCCCAAACAAAACGTCATATACGTTCATTTCTTGGCAGTTAAGCATAAAACTCTGCCGAGAAAATCATTGACGTTAATAAATGAATGCGTATTGCATTTTGTCATGTGAGCTTTGAATAGCATTTAATGAACAGTCCATTAAATGTCTTCGGGATATTTGATAAATATAGCGATAAAGATATCTGGGCAATGATCTGTAGATGTTATACGAACAGAACGTTTGTTATCTTCATCAAGAGATATATCACTGATAAAAAAAATCATTCCTTTCTTATTGCATATGACCTAACATTTTGAGCCAAACTTTCATCTTTATGTCATCTTACAGCATCCGTTAAATCCATTTTAAATGAGCTATAATTGCTGTTGGAATTTGAGATCCTATTTATAATTCGATATGTCGCGAAAAGAATTAAAAGAAAATTATATATATAAAAGACAACATAATACAACATATATAAAATATAAAAATATGCATTAAAATTAAAATTCTGTTTCTTTTGAAGTGTGGATTACTTAAAGTAAACTTTATTAATTAAATAATTGGAAATATATAAATTTTTGACAGAAAGATACGACATTTCATAAAAATAGTAGCTATATTCTAATTATATAATAATATATATATGCATACAACTTTTATAAAAATATATAATTTTGTAAAATAATATTAAATAAATTTATTAAATAAATATATATTAATATACACATATATAATATATAGTAAATTTAATATATATAATAAATTTATGGTATGCAATATTATTGTAAAATTATGTCTTTTATTTGTAACATGTATTTACTACACTTTGTTTTCATTGACAAGGCTGAGCTTGTATCCTAGTCATCAAGTTCTCGTGTTCCGCAGAGTCTCAGCCACCTGTCTAATAATGCGCCTCCCGTATCCGGTGCCGCCTAACCGTTTCCGGTGTACCCGGGACTAGATGTTACCCCCTGCGGTGTCCTCACACGCGACCCCCGCGCAAAAGGGGCACGCGACCCCAAAAACACTCCACGCTCCAATGCACCGCCTTCCCCAATTTTTCCTGGGGTACATCCCTCCCGCAACGGGTGCGTGTCTTCGGCATCCGTACAATCCATTTGTTATTACGGCTCGTCAGTGTGAAGGAAAATTAGTGAAACCTCCAGCACTCGTAATCGTCGCTATTTTCTACGAATCACATTCTAGAAAATCGTTCCAAAAATATATGCACTCAGGATATTGCTGAAAATATTGTATGTAATTAATAATGATAAGACTCGGAGAAATTTTTCCATTTCTATTTTCATTTATCATGAGACGCAGAGAAAATAAAAAAATTTTCACTTTCACAAATTTTGAAGCTGCGGCATTTTAGAATTTATTTTAAATAAATACTATATATAAATATATAAAAATGTAATGTTATTTTGTTTCCCAAAAAAAAACTTGTAAATATTGTAAAGTTTACATAATGTAATACATTTGATCTTCTATTCATAAAATAATATATACGATATAAAATATAATTTTTCTGGTCGATAAGATTAATGATTAGGCGGAAAATCGTTTAAAATGCATGTCTTGCCGCGTATCCCATATGCAATTCATGAACAGAAATCGATTTCACACTCTCGCTGGGTATAAATTAATAGACACTTATGGTGCGTTTCGATGGGTTACTCCCTGTACCAGGTGTTAGTCGTGGCCTCCTCTTGCCAGGATGCACCGTGAAAAATCGCTTTATTCATGGAGCGGCTGATCCGGGGCCTCTTACGATTGCTCTGAAAATCTGTGTTTTAAATGTATAATATCTCAGAAACTATTAAAAATGTCTTCACAAAATCGTGTAAAAGTGTAATGTAAATTATAATATAAATATATATTAATTTCAAATACAACAATAAAAATTACATTAAAAATTTCAGTAACTTCATCTTTTATCACTTAAATGGTTTGCACGAAATTTTTCATTCCAGCAACCATTAAAATATAATTTGGTACACAAAGACTTTGGAGCATATATCTTGAAAATGTTTTACTTCTCTCCTTTTAAATTTTTTTCTGTGAGAAAGATAGATTTTAAATAATTTAAAAAAATATAAATGAGTTTAGTAATTGTTAATTCGGTTTATATATCCCAAAGAAATGCGACAAAAGTTTTAACACATTTTATATAGCATTATATGGTTTTTTTATATTGCAAACGGTGACGACAAATCTTTTCGACGTAGGGATAATATTTATTCAATTGTCGATGCGAAGCGAGATTGCACGAGTCTCGTCATCGTTGGAATCACGATTAAGCGCATACACGTGGCCACGCGAGCTTTGCCATTTAAATCCCCTTTAGTTATCTCTCGATCTCGAGGATCAAAAATTCTACCGGACAATGGAGCCGTCCCGACGCAGTATTTTCATTTCGGATTATATCGAACAAGCTGCGGCTACATTCGATCGAAGTATATGTGATTAGCAAAGGAAAAAGAGAGAAATAATTCTTTGTTTTTTTTAAGCCATTAATTGTAATTCGTATCAAAATTCAAAATTTTCCATTTATAATGTTATATATTATGTAATAATAAGAAATAATGTGAATAAGAAATAATTTGAATCATGAAATACATAGTTATTAAAATGCACGTAAATATATAGCAGAAAAATTATAATTAAGATTTTATCCAATAATCTGACATGAATTATAAAATTGAGTTTTAAAGCAACAAATTAAATACAATTTAATGACAATGATTAATTATAAATAATATTTTATAATACGCAGTTTTTTATGATAATTATTAAAATATTGATAATAAATTTTTTTTTAGCTAAATTTTTTATTTCATATTTTTGTATATTTAAATTAATTATTTTTCAAATTATTGTATTTTAAATGAAATTTAAATTAAATCTTTCTTTTTTTAGAAAAGTTATTTGTATATATGTCACTAATGTAAAACACTAGCTTAAATATATTAATTGTTTTAACACGTGTGATATCACACGCGAAAAACGTTAATACAAGATGTAATTATTAACGAACGGGGATATTAATTACAATCGTGGGAAATGGTAACACCCCCCGTTTTCCCGATTCTTTCCAGAGAAGCATCACAGATGGACCTATAACTCATTCGAGTTCGACGTACCCTCACTTCGTTATTTCGGGACTGCTAATTACCGGTGTGTTATAGATGAGGTTCGAAATCATTCGGAAATGTAAGAATACTTGTAACAGGGCTTAGTTTATTAACTGTCGGCATTATCAAAAACAGAACCTCTCTTCTGTGAATTTATGTTATTGAATATCAAAATACTGTTTTAAATCTTATAAAATAGGATTATAATAGGATATAATAGGATATAATAGGATAAATCCTATATGAAACAGAAAAGTATTATAATTTAATACGATTATTCGTTATACGATATAAAAAGTAATTATTATAGTATTATAGTAAATATTATAATAAGTAATTCTAGTAATATTTCTAAATAATATAAATAAATAATTATTACTGTCGCTAAGAAAATAATTTTCATATCACAATTATTGCAGGAAAAAATACAAATCGATATTTTTGTCATGTCAAAAGATATTAAATCATTTTCGTTGAAAGATATATCAATTTATATTTTATTTATAAATTTCATGAAGCTCTTCCGTAATATAAACAACTTACTGGAGTTTTATTTTATTTGTAAAATAACTTTCCCTCTTTGTACACCTTCTGTTACAATCGATACGAATTCTATATGATTCTCGAGATGATTTTCACGTCACGATAAAAATACATTCCATTCAAAACAGGTGACACTTCCTTTTTATTCCCTACACACGCCTTTTATATAAAATTACAGTAAATATTGCCGGGTTAGAAAACGGAGCGTGCATCCGGCAAACATATTGCGAGCCGCAGTACATTATTAAATTATTATCTGACGCTTAATAATGTGTTAGAGAAATCAGATCGTACTTGTTACGGTACGCATAATTATAAGTTTGCTCGACAGGGCCAAATGTCGCCGAAGTGGTTAACCTGGAACGCAACCCTTTGCCACAACATTGCGGCCGCACGTGACTTGCACGTGCGACCAATTTCTTTTCTATTATGAGCTTACCTGTGATTCGACAATGTGTTTTTTATTGTTTGCAATAACTTCGAGAAAGAGAGAGAGAGAGAGAGAGGGGGGGGGGAGGGAGCGAGAGAGAGTGCAACTTGAGTGCAAAAGCGAATTAATGAGAGAGTGAAAGAGAAAGTAAAGAATTGCGTGAAAATAAAACAAATATTTTGCATATATATCGCAATTACTTTATACATATAATATAATACATATAATATATTATAATGTATATAACTACATATTGCATTATGTATTAAAAATATTATATCCCTATAGAGTATAATTATTCAACAGTGTATTCAATCAAACATACAAAATATACAATTGTGCACTTGATATTTTGTATGTTTAATTGAATACACTATGCGATCTCAATCTCTCATACAATTCGAAAATTTATCCCGCTTTACTCTATAAATTAAATAAGTCGAAATGTGCGTATGTATAGATAACAGATTGCATACCAGTGTGAAAGCGGCGTAACTAATACACTTTACTATTTTTTTGATATAAGTTTCTCTTACTCGCCAGTTTACAACCGGCTTTCTTCACTGCGATGGACTTTCGTTCGTGTCCGTCGGACAATTACGAATTCATGAAGTCGCTAGAGACTGTAGATGCTTGAAAATTCTGTAAGTTCGACGGGCAAAACCTATAGTTAGCCAAGTTCGCAAATAACGAACAACATCCAACAGCGATGAAAACTTTCACGAAGATGTCAAATGTAAGGGGCTGCGGTTTTTATACAACAGTTTCGATAGACAGTTGACAATGACTCTGGAATGAAACATTATCATTCTACTAGCACCTCTAACAAGCTGGAATCAAATATTTAAAAGAATATTCTAATGTTTAAGTAAAAGAATTAGTAAATTTAACTTACAAAGTATATGTATAATTTAAAGTCCAATAACCTGGATCTTATATATATTTTGTATGATTAGTTGACGCTTTCTGTGTTAATTATAGAGAGAGAAAGCAAAAAAAAAAAGATTTCGTAACGCTTTGTATACTAACAAAAACATTTGATTGGATTGATTGGAATTTTGGTTGAAAATGAACGAATTAGAATTTTCTGTCCAAATCTACTAAAATTATAATTAAGATAACCGAAATTCTAATTAACATAATCAGAATCTTCTGGTACGTCCATTTTCAACCATACACTTTTCTCAATGTACACTATTTATATCTGATTTTGCAATCATAATAAATATTTATATGAATAATATATTATCTATATACAGAGAAATTACCATTGTCAATTTTTCAAAAATTCTTCAATTATTCTCGATTTCGAATTAATTATTGCATACGCTTATTTTAATCTAAATATTTTAATAACTCAATTATATTTCGACAGTTTAATGAAGTATTTAATCTTACACAATTTCAGATAAACAATTTCCTCGGTTATAAACAAAACAAACTACTATAATTTAACTGCTTTGAATCCGGTTTCAGTAAAGTTCCAGTTCGATCCTGCAAATTCAATCTATTTTTTAAATATTTTCTTCGCGAATCGCGCGAACTTTTTTTATATATAATTAGCTTATCATGTTCGAGAAAGTATACGTTCCGATCAGTTACAGTTCTTTTCCCGGCAGCGTTCCGGGACGCTGTTCCTAGGAACGGGAATAACGGCGGTTCCTTATCAGATCGATGAAGAGGCGGCACCGCTACCCCAGCAACCAAGGGGTAGGCAGGCTCTGCCAGCCGCGCGCTCGACGAATGGGGTCGTAGCTGGGCTTTCAACCCTGGCATGGCTTCCGCTTTGCTGCTCATCGCTTTTCGATTTTAGTCCAGCGAGAGACCACCTGAACGATCGGTAGCACAGTAGGTGGTCTGCAGGTCGGCAGGAAGCTGCGGAAGGTTCCAGTTTTCGGGCGCGAAATCGGCAAACATCTGAAAGAGTATTTAAGGGATATTCCCGAAGTTCACACGGTGGTGAACTCTGCGGAAAATTGTACGAGAATCGTGGAACGAGCGATGTTTCTTGTGACGAGTAAATTTATGAGGAAATGTCTAAGTTGTCAGTGGGAGTGCGAGGGAAACTAAATAACAACAAGGAAATTGAATGAGAGAAAAATATCTTAAATTACAGCGCTGCGTTTTTTTATAGAAACTCAGAGACGATAGTTATGACAGCAATTCGCAAATATTTGAGACGTTAATGCAATTGCAAAGTGCAATTTAGAGAACTTCCTTCAGGATTTAAGACTTATGAGAATTTTCTTCTAGTGATCTCTTATTCTTTTGGAAGAATTAGACGTGGCTGATCATGGACAATAAATCGCTGTAATAAATAAATAAATCTGAGGAAGGACAATTGAAACATCAATGCAATTGCAAAAAATGCAATCTGAAGGATGACGTATTGAAAATATTTCAGAAATAAATAAAACCTGTATGATGAGAAGATGGCCAAATGTAATCGTTAATATTTAAAATCAGATGTGTGTCTTCACTGAAAAAAAACCATTGAAAAAACAATGGTTGCGAAAAAAGACTATAATTTAGAGTGCCATTTTTAATTAATAAACGAAGAAATATATGTAAAGCGAAAGAGTTCACGTATAATTACAATATTTTCCGATAAAAGCTCTTTGAAAATGTTTACGCAAAAATTTCTCGCAACGAGACAATAAACGAAACTTATATATAATATAATAAAACAAACAACAGCAACAACACGGAACGATGACGGACGGAGAAGATTATAAATCAACGTAACTAATTGAATCCCGACATAATTAATGTTCCGATTTCTATCATTCTTTTGCAACTGCAAGAAAGCGAATTAAAATCCATGAAATGATAAGAGGATTTTACAGTCAAGAAAGGATAAAAATATAAGAACATAATAAGATGTTATTCTCACAGACATGCATCGCGAATATAAGAGATCATCGAGATGATGTTCGTAAGTAGTAAATCGTAATGTCGTAAGTGGCATTGGTTGGACACGTACCGAAGCATCTCGAGGCGTGAGTACCAAGTGTTAACAAGTGTTTGGACAAATCTCAACACGTGCCCGGAGTGGTTCGCCAAGACACGTGCCGCTGTTTAGAAATATTATCCTGCACGCGCCTGGTTGGCACGTGTCGATCGTATCTTTCAATCCTCGAGACGTGTTCGAGGGTGCGCAGGTACGATCAGAAATTCCGGCAAACTATGAAATCGTTTGACACGAAGATCTGAAATTTAGTTTTGCTAAGCTCGTCCAATAATTATACGATTATCATTCAAAGCGTCTAGAGCGAAGAATTAAATGGCGTGAATTACACGACAGTCTCGTCGTTCTACATCTAGTCATACAATCTAGTCGTATTTTTGGTTAATTAGCGAGCGATCTTCAGATCCGATAAGGAATCACTAAATTAAGGAAAGTATATTATAATTAATATTCGCGAGACCCTTAATTATTAAATCTGAACGCATTATTGGCGAATTGGACATTGTCAACACCGTCGACATGTATTCGATGGACAATCTCGAACGAGATATGATGAACCGGCAGTACATGTATGAAGCGCACACCTTCCTGGGTAATCCAGCAATCCCGGCATTGCCGCCGCATTGCGGGGTACCTACCACGACGACGCTTCCGGCGGTCATCCCGTCGCAGATCCCGTCGTCCCATCATCCATCTGGTAGCACCGGTAGCACCAGCGGTAGCGAGCACTATCTCTATGACGAGAACAGCAGTGACAACGAGAGCGTCTACAGCAGCGATCAGGAGAATCACGCGAGAGAGTGAGTATTCCAAAAGTGCTTGCTTTCTTCTGATTTTCCCTTGTTTGATTTTCCGATTCAAATATATATAGAGTCCATAATGCAGACATGCAGACAATGTGCTTGCTTCACTTCAGGTACCCTCCATTTAGTGACACAAGTCGACAAAAGTATCGTTATGTTTTTGTTACTCATGCAAAGAAAGATAGAATGACATTTATGTCGACTTGTGTGATTAAATGGGAGGCACCCTTTGGATCGTCAGATTTCTTTTTCTTTCTCGATTTTATCAAAAATTTAGAGTTGTTCTTTCTTCTTTGAATCTTGAAATTGCTAAATCTTTAAAGGTACTAATTATACGGAAAATTGGGTTCTGGTAAAATAAGTTAGTTTTCACATGTAATGTGTATGTGTGTGTAGTTTATAACTAACTCATTTATATAGTAAACAAAAACTGTTATAGAACTAGGTTCAATAATTTTTTGAATTGTGGTATAAAATATGTATTCAGAATACTTTTGATACATTATAATTAAAAAAGTATTTATTATTAAGCCTTGTGTCTATGACATCTTTTGTTTATTGCATTACAAGCTAAATTATATGTGAAAATTAATTTACTAAGGCCTATTTTTTTATATAATTAGTGCGAGATCTTTTGACTTAAAATTCGATAAGATTTGCTATTAATTTTCTAAAAATAATGATTTCAAAATGTTCAAAGTTGATACTTCATAAATGAGTAATGTTAAAGTATTTTAATATCGAATTATGAATGAAATCAAAATGATTTTGATCGCTTTATAAATTCATTCAACAATCGGTTTGTCACTTTTACCCGTAGACGAAGTCGGAGTAACCGACGCGGCGGACCATCGGGAAAATGTCCG